CTCCGGCCCCCATGTGTGTGGGGGGGTTATGCCTTGGGTTTCCTGGCATTAGATGCACCCTTGACAGCTCATAAAGGACACTAGATATTCAGCCTCAAAATTTTGTTCTTCTCCCTATTAATTGGGGCAAGAGCATCTATCATATCATTGCCTCTGCTGACCTCAAATGCTCTCCACCAAGCAGTTAACTCTGGCATCATAGCTGGTTTTCCACGTGATGTCACCTCCATGGCCATGAAATAAGTCAATAACCGAACACATTCTTTAAGAACAAGGGGTAGGATGAGCCGGCAATGATCAGTTGTTATGATAGTATATTAAGGAGTTGGATGCCGAAGATCTTCAAAGGTCAAGTCCTGGATATTCGTCATTAGTATTCTCAGGAGAACTAACCCCAAATGTGTTAAGGGCAAAGGAAAAGCCAAAGGAAGTTAACTGAGTTCTCAGGCACAACTTTAGCCACCTACAACCTCCCCCCCTCGTCCGCCCCCCGCAAATCACCCTTAATTAGCCTAATCCGCGCGGTCCAATCCTCCCCGCCACAATAGCTGTCAATGAATCAGGTTCCGCCCCTCCATCATGCCGGACCAATGAAGCACCTCGGGGTAAATCCCCTGAGATGGGCGGATCGGGTTCCGGGCAGGGGGCGGGGCCTCACCGAGGACCCCGAGCTGGGCGCCGCTGCCGGTTCGTCTACCCTTTCCCTCAGCCGCCTCCTTTCAACCTTGTCTACCCGTTGGCACGGCCTCTGGTGCAGCGGCGGCGGCTCCCGTTTCTGCCGCATCTCTCTCCCCTCTTTCCCTCCCCATCAGATCCTAGAGTTGCCTGCCATGGCTTTACTCACTGCGGCCGCACGGCTCTTGGGAGCCAAGGTGAGCAACTAGGGGAGAGAGCGCGCCGTTCTGGGGTGGGGCTGAGGCGACCGCAGGCCCTCAATAGCCGGGGTCTTTCCTCCCTCCCACACCCGCGCGCACCCCTGCGCGTCTTAAAGGAGCCCTGCGTTTGGCTTGTCGCCAGCCCTCCTTAGAGCTCCCGGGGCCATGTGCTACGCTGCCCTTCCGGCTCCTTAGGGTGAGACGAATGCTGTCGGTGCCGGCCTGCAATCTGGGGCGGGTGCAGAGCCCCGACCTTACTGGCATCCTGCATGTCTAAGTGGGTTTGTGTGACTCTGAATGAAGAAGGAGCCAAGACTAGAGCCGCCAATAGAGGATAGAGGTGTGGCGTTTCACTAGAGTTATGGAAAGAATTGTTTGGAGGAGGGGGTGGGAGTGAGCAGATGTGCTCACTCTGTCCCAGAGCTGGAGCGGAGGCTAATTTTGGCTCTGATTTTTAGGGAGGGCCTTGTCAGTTCCCCAACTGCCTGTTTCTATTCAACACAGTTATTGAAGACTTTAGTAACTAGCAGTTTGTGCTAGAGGTGGGGTACTCCAGCTCCTCTTTGTCCTTGGAACTCTTGCACTTAGCTTGGGCGGGGTGAAGAATTTTCGTAAAACTCCTACTTAACAGGTATGATTGGAGAAAGAACCAGAAAGGTGGTTCCACTAAACTACAAGCCAATAAATGCAGATACTCGGTATGAGGTAGTAAAGCCAAGGTCACATGACCAGCCCTACTACTTGCTAGCCCTGGTTTTGTTAAGGATCTTAAGTCTTCTTTACCCAGGGAAACGTCCTCTTATTCTTTGGGGCCCTTTACGAGATATTTATTGCTTTTTTGAATCCTAGAAATGCTGTTCCAGATAATGATACCCCCGATTTCAAACTGACAATAATTTTGGCTCTAGATAACTTGCCCCTTAAGCAGAGAAACTGCTGTTAAAAGAGTACCAGTCCTCTAATCCAAGGAGGGACAGTCCCACAAGTGACCTTGACTTCTTTTGCAAAGAAATTATATTTTCTGTAGTTTGAAGCTGTCAGCACTTGAAGGAAAGGAAAGGTTTAGAATGGTTTTTGGCTTGCTCTATATATTCTCCATGGTTAGCAGAGATAAAGTGCAACCTATAGGATTTATCTTGGTTCTTCCACACCCAGCAGCAAGGTAGAGACTGATATTTGTCTTACTTGGCTCTTGTCTCTCCTGCTACTAGGGAATAGGGTAAGGAAGCCTCTTGGGAAATGAAGAAAGTTCTAGATAGTGTTTTGGCAGAATAGGGGACACTATAATTAGCTTATTCCAAAGCTGCTAACCTAGTGTTTGACCAGATAGTCTGGCCTTACAGTGAATTTGAAAAAATCTTTTGGATTTACCTTTTGAATTTATCATGTCTTACAAGCCCCTAGGGAGCCTCAGAATACTTTGTGAATGATAAGTCTACATAATTGTGTTATCATTATTTTCTTTACTTTCATGTTAGAAGGGGACTTGAAAGGCAGGGGAAATAGCTCAGTTGGTAAAGTGCTTCCCTTGCATGCTCAAGGCCCTGGGTTAAACTCTTAGCACCAAAAAAGAGAGAGAGAGAGAGAGAGAGATGGACCTGAAGATTCTAGAAACCTATAAATTGAAAGGCCATTTGAAAACTTTGACCCTTGAAACCAGCAAAGCCCATCTGGCACAGTGGTGCTTGCTTATAATCCCAATGATTTGGAAGTCTGAGATAGGACAATTGCAAGTTCAAGGCTAGGCTGGGTAACTTAATGAGACCCTGTCTCAAATTTTTTTTAAAAGGAAAGAAAATTTAAAGGGCTGGGAATATAATAACCCAGTGGTAGATGGTGGACCCTAAGTGCAATCCCTAGTACTGTCAAGGAAAAAAAAAAAGCAACAAAACAAAACTTGCAAAACCCATCAAACTACTCAGAAGTGGAATTTCCTGAGAACAAAGCTATATGACCAGGATATCAAGAAACCTTTCAGTATTGCTCTCATCTGCCTGAGCTTTCTAGGTTAACCTGTAGTTTAATTGGTTGTTGTTGTTGTTGGTAATAGATTTTACATTTGATATTAAGGTAGGTTTTATAAAGGAAGCAAAATAGTTCTAACCCAGAACTAATCTCTATTACTTTGTCAAGGTCAGATGTAGTTTCACTTTTTTGATAAGAGGTTTTTTTTTTTTTTTTCAACCTTAGAAGTCATTCTTCCATTGTACCATCTTCCTATCCATTTTCAGGTAATTTATTTATATATTCATTATTTGAGTAACTATTCTAAGCAGTATTGTGCTTTAGGTTATTTTCTATTTAATGCCGGGGATGTAACCCAGGGACATTTAACACTGAGCCATATCTCCAACCCTTTTTTCATACCATGACCCAGGCCCTGGGTTCAATCCCCAGCATACATGCATGCACACGCACAGACATGCACATCTTTTCATATGTGATCTGGATTTGGATTTGGGCTGAGAATTGGAGTAGGGTCACCAATTCACTTCTGGATTCTTGAAGTCAACATGCTTAATTAACCCTAACTGAAGAAATTTTTATACCACCGAGAATTGCTCCTCCAAACTAGGATGTTTGGAGCTTTGAGAAAATCCAATCAAAGTAATGTTGATTCCTTGATGCTTACTAGATAGACCACAGATGGAGTGGGAAATCCTTATGCAGTGCTTGTGGTGGAATGAGTGCATGTATTCTTCCTAGTGGTCTTCAGATTGTTAACAGGTGAATGAATGCCTGAGCATGGGGAGGCAATGGGGTCAGTGATAATAACTAAGTAGGATGTGAAATATAAAACAGTAGTGAGACAACTTAGCAATAGATCTTTTCTTTCTTTTTTTTTTTTTTGTTTTTGGTACTGGGCACTGAGCCACATCCCCAGCCCTGTTTTGTATTTTATTTAGAGACAGGGTCTCACTGAGTTGCTTAGTGCCTTGCCATTGCTGAGGCTGGTTTTGAACTAGCGATCTTCCTGCCTCAGCCTGCCAAGCTGCTGGAATTATAGGCCTGTGGCACTGTATCCAACTAGATCTTTCTTAGCATCTGTCCTTTAATTCTTGTGTCACCTGCCCAAAGTCCTTAGGTCCCTGTATTCTTTTAACATAGTGCCATTTTCAGGGGTCTGTAAATTTACAGTGGGCATCATAATCAGAGATATGATTATTATACTTGTTCAAATGTAGATTCCTTGATCCTACCTACAGGTTATGATTCAGCAGAGGTAGGATGGGATCCAGAATTTGTATGTTTTCATGCATCATTAGTTGGCTGATGATGTGGTGGTGCTAGGACCACACTGTTAGGCTACTGAAACTACATACAGGCTTTTTGTTTG